ATGATTAAATTTTATAGAAACAAATACTAGTTTTGAATTTAGTTAATTTTTGTTATGGTTTAATTTTTTTATTTTTTTATTTTTACATATAAACTTAACTATTTTTCGTTAAACTTTGCTTTTGAATAGTTTTTTTGTTATTAAAATGATTTTCTTCATAATTAATTTTTTAAAAATTATTTATTCAAAGGTTATATTATATATTTGGATATTATAGTTATACAAAAACTATTTATATTACTATTTTTTTAAAAATTATTAAATGCGGTTCGACCGGTTTGACCCAAAAGTCTGCCGTTTTGGTTGTCGGTTGGGTTTTAAAAACATTGGAGGCACGAAAGTATTTGATCCGATTTGCGAGAGTCAAAAGTCAACTTTGTTGGTGTGGTCGACGCGAGAGAGGAAAATGCATTTGAGTGAGAACGAAGGTGTCGAAGGCAACACCTTCGTCGTCACCGGTGGCCTTGGCTTCGTCGGCGCCGCCCTCTGCTTGGAGCTTGTCCGCCGTGGTGCTCGCCAAGTCCGCTCTTTCGACCTCCGTCACTCCTCTCCTTGGTCCGATCAGCTCCGAATCAGTGGCGTTCGCTGCATCCAAGGTTCCCCTTCCTCTTCTCGATCCCTTTCACTCTTGCTTTCAATTCCGTCTTCCAATCAATTTCCATCTCTAATCTCTGAATCTCGGTTAGATCGCACCAGAATCGTAGCTAATTAGGAAACATGTGATTTGTAATGATGATGACAGGTGATGTCACTAAGAAACAAGATTTGGAAAAGGCTCTAGATGGTGCGGACTGTGTTTTGCATCTTGCTTCCTATGGCATGTCTGGGAAAGAGATGCTTCAGTTTGGGCGTTGCGACGAGGTTAACATCAACGGGACCTGTAATGTCTTGGAAGCTGTCTTCAAACACGAGATCACAAGACTTGTCTATGTTAGTACTTACAACGTTGTCTTTGGTGGTAAGGAGATTAACAACGGCAATGAATCTTTGCCTTATTTCCCTCTTGATGATCATGTCGACGCCTATGGTCGAACTAAATCCATTGCAGAACAGTTGGTCTTCAAGAGTAATGGCCGACCATTTAAGTAAGTCCGGTTTTCGATTTTGGATTTCCTCATTGGTATCTAGTAGGAGCCATAGTGATCTTCTTAACTGCATGTGGTTATATAGGAATGGGAGCAAGAAGTTGTACACTTGTGCAATCCGTCCAGCAGCTATATATGGACCCGGGGAAGACAGACATCTTCCTAGGATAGTTAATCTAGCAAAGCTGGGTTTGCTGTTGTTCAAGACCGGTGAACCGAATGTGAAAACAGACTGGATTTATGTTGAGAATCTTGTCCTAGCAATCATCCTGGCAAGCATGGGACTCTTGGACAACATTCCTGGCAGACAAGGAGTGCCCGTCGCTGCTGGCCAACCATATTTTGTCTCTGATGGTAAACTCATCTCTTAACACATCCTTAAGACCAGTGGGATATCTAAACATATAGCCTTAGAACTTGCATGCTATAATCAATTGGCTTCATTATAGGTTCCCCGGTGAATACATTTGAGTTTCTACGTCCCTTCCTTAGAAGTTTAGACTGTGACCTGCCCAAGTTTACAATATCTGTACCTGTTGCGCTGTCCTTGGGTAAGATCTTCCAAGGTATCTACACTGTCCTATATCCATGGCTATCAAAGAGCTGGTTACCACAGCCCCTTATTCTTCCTGCTGAAGTCTACAAGGTAACAGTTTCACAACTCATATTCCAGTTGAAATCACAAACCAACTTGTGAATCTATCGATCTGGTGCAGGTCGGTGTTACCCATTATTTTTCATATCTCAAAGCCAAGGAAGAGCTTGGGTATGTTCCATTCAAGAGCTCCCGGGAGGGTATGGCTGAAACAATCTCATACTGGCAGGAGAGGAAACGGAGATCTTTAGACGGTCCAACCATATTCACTTGGATAGCTGTTGTACTAGGAATGTCAGCTCTTTTTGCTGCCGGATGGTTACCTGACATTGGACCTGTGCCTTTCTTGAGAGCCCTTAGCCTCTTCGTCTTCCGGACAATCACAATTATAAAGGTTGTCTTCATTGTATCAGTAGGATTACATGTTGCAGAAGGAATCTATGCATTGTCTTTGGCTAAACGAGTAGACCCAGACAATGCAATGGGGTGGTTCTGGCAAACCTGCGCCCTCGGGTTTTTCTCAATGCGGTTTTTGTTGAAGAGAGCCAGAGACCATCAGGTTTAAAACCAGTCTTGTTTAGATCTTGTAATCAGAAAAAGATTCTACTACATTTCTACATCAGTTTAAACGATTTCAAGATTGAGAAACATAAAATGCAACAAGATCTATGTTAATCAGGATAATTCAATTTCTTAACAACATAAGATTCTGAACATAGCTCTAAACACAAACCAGGTTAAAAGTTTTAAACTCCTTTTGTCTGAACAGACAACTAGAAAGCCTAAACTAAAGATAGAAATCATCATCATTCTAAAGTTGTTGGTTTTAAGACAACAAATATCACTTGGTTACTTCCAGGGCATGGAAAGGTTGGTGTTATTGTAAGGTCCTCCTGTGCTCTGGTGAAGAGGGCTTCCATGTCCTCCTCCACAAGATGACTCACTCATTGTGCCTCGAGATTGTGGGCTACTCGGAGCCATCAGCACTTGAGTTGGGGCCACACGAGGTATTGTGGGCGAGGATAGTTCCATGTGGCCCACATGTCTCGGTTCTTTTTGTCCCTCTGGTATGAAACTCCCAACAACAATCTGTAATTTCAGAGCAAAATGTTGTCCTTACATTGCTCTTATGAACATCATCAATATATTAAAAGACAGTATTAGAAGACGGAAGAAATTACCTGAACAGGTGATGCTGCTATAAGAAGACCAGCTACACAGCCACCTAGGACATTACCATCCGGAGCTGATAAGGACACACTTAGACCTCCAGTCCTGCTTCTGTGACCATTATTCTCCATTAGAAGAAACGAGCCCGATAANGACAGAATCTCAAATCTCCCCTGATTTTCAGTGTAAACAACTCAATAGGGTAAGGAGCAAAAATTCAATAGAAAAACACCAGTCTTCAACAAGTTTTTTGTGAACCGAAAATTAATACCTCATATGTAACGGTTCCACCGGATGTGGTGGGCTGACGAAGAGTCACATTGGAAATTGCTCCATTTGCAGACAAGACACACACAGCACGTGGTCCGTTCTGAGAAAACCCCATTATCTTTGATGATACATCCTGCCCCACGGATCAAGTAGCAGCATTATAAAAAAGTCAGATCTTTACCGTAACAAAATTCAAATTGAAACATTATCAGGTACAGGCAGACCAAAAACCAGTCTTAACCATTGTCAGGTAACATTATCTTGTAACCAGTAATGGAAACCATCTGATCTTAAGTTAACAATTCGCATTTTTCCGAAAGGATGAGTTAAGACATACATCTTAACAGTAGAATAAGTAAACTCAAGAAGCTAAAAGAAATGGCTAAGAAATGTTAAATAAAACAAAAGAGAAAGTGGATAGAGACCTCTCCAGTCCTCACGGTAAGTACATGAGGCGTAAATCCGATTCCCGTTGAGCCTACAACAAGAAGAATTCTGTCAGAATATAGCAAAGCCAGTTCAAGCCAAAACAAATGCCATAATCAGAGCCCAAAAACTGCAAGTTTAGAAGAATGAGAATCAAGAATGATGAACCAACAAAGTCCACAGTAACATTACATGATGTCAAGATTGCTAGAGTTATCAAAAGANTAGACAAATGGCTAAAGAAGAACACATGACAGATACGTTAAAGGGCATATAAGTGACACTAGTGACGGAATCTAATTCCAGAGACTGTCATTGTTTACCATATTCACCATTTTACTAA